AATCATTTAAAAAAATAAAATAAAATAAAGTAAAAATAAAAATAAAATAAAATAAAATAAATAATACTAATAATTCTAATCTAATAAATAATAATGAAATAATAATAATAATAATAAAAACTTTTGGAACGGCTCGGCTCAACTAGGAAACGGCTCGGCTCAAGATAGAAAGACGGCTCGAAGATGCGGCTCGAGGATGTCGGCTCTACTCGGCTCCAGGGAAAGCTTAGTATACGGGTCGCTGGACCGAGTAGCGATCGGATCGGGTCGAATCTTGGTAAAACGCGCAAATCCTTAGGTTTATTAATGCCAAAATAATGTCATTTTACTGCACTATAAAAGGCTCCAACCTTTGTTTTTCTACAGACTGCTTCTTTTCCTCTCTCTCTTCTCCCCGTTTTCTTCTCCTTCTCTTTAAAGAAACTAAGAACTTCGGTTGAATCTCGTCAGATTTTGAAAAATATTGTCGAAATCTGGGTTTTTTGTCAAAAATTCTTCGAAAAGTTGGTCGATTTCTAGAAATAGTATGTCGAAAACTGGGTAGCTGGCCAAAAAATTCAACTGGTGCCAAAAGTCATTTAAAAATTCAAATTTCGCTGAAAAATTCACTAGAATCAGAAAATTTTTCAAAAATTTCCAGAAAAAAATTCGCTTAAAATTCTTCAAAATATCTAAAAAACTCTTAAAATTGCTTTTGACCCTTCTGAACATCATTTTTTTCTTTTTTTTTTTTGCTCTCTCTCTCTTCGTATATGTTTTTGTGTTCTGTTCTTTATGATTTATGGATCTATTTATAAGGATTGATCAGAAGAGTTTCTAATCAATCTCAATTCCATCTTGGATTGGGATTCAATCCTTGAATCTAATCTAGACTCTGATTGAATCCCAAATTCACGATAAAATTTTAATTTTTTATCCTAATCCCAGTCGAAAATCAATCAAGAAAAACATAAAAAATAAAATAAAATAAAATATATGAATAGATAAATAATAAAAATATATATATTAATAGATAAATAATAAAATATATTAATAGATAAATAATTAAAAAATATTTATATATTAGCAAATAGTAATAGTAATAATAAATAAATAAATAAATAATAAAAATACAAATACAAATGCAAATGGGCTATCCATTTGAACCAGATCCAATTGATTCGGACTTAGATCAAATTGGGTGTCTACATATGTAGTCCTTTTTCATTAAAATCTGAAGCAATTAACAGCATAATTATATGTATAATAGATGTGACACTGGAATTTATAAATCCCATTAGCACATCTTATATTGGAGGTTATCTTACATAAGGGTGGTCAGGAGCATCCTATCAAAAGGATTTCGGAGCCTAAAGAGGCCATTGCATACTTTGACAAATGACGACGATGATTTTCCAGAATTAGGCTTACTAGTAGAAAGAGGTGAAGGTAAGACTCCAAAATTGATGATGGAAAAGCCTGAACCTTTTATGGCGCATTTGAGGCATTTCTTATACCCCTTGCCTTCCCTCCATCCCTCTGTTGGCAAACATGTTTGAGCATGGCTGTATGATGTCAAATTTAGTATTTGACATCTCTCTGCATGTAAATTTTCACTACGAGTATTGGTTTACATGATGTCTAATGTGCTCTGACTTGATCACCATCTAGAATCTCCATTTCATTTAGAAAATCAATGGTGCCACAAAAAAATCACATGGCTCTTCTTTTAAGACAAACAGCTGCCTCAACATTTAGGACGTAACAGCAAAAGTGAGAAACTCTTCTTGAGTTCCTTCTCTAAATCTCGAGAATAACAATGATGGAAGATCTAACTTCAGAACTTCAAGTTCTGTTACAATTATGAATGTGCCTTCTATAATTAACCTTCTTGAGTTGAAGTAGGCAATTTCAGTTTTTTGCAATGTCTCAAAGGCTTCCAACAGGTCAGTTCCAAATGGACTTGATTGTTGTGAAATTGAATTTTAGGTATTTCTCTTTCTTGACAATATCAACTTTCCCTCTTTCTATGGCATCCATTTTCGTATTTGATCACCTAATAAGTATTCTTTTGGCCAGAACCTAATGGATATTTATGCCTGCTTTTCCAGATTGTGGAGTCAAGCAGGACAGCAAAATTGGCAATATAACAGTAAAGGACTTCAATCTCCCAATTAGCCCACTGCACTCATTAGAAACTGTTACAATTAGAATTAGCAATATCAGTTCAGAGAATGCATATTCAACAACACACTCTACATGCACATTATGTGGTCCTTTGGAGGGGCTGCTGATGACAAAAGAGGTTTTGCGGATGCCTTATTTATTGTGAATGGTGAGGCAAACACAAAAAGTACACTGAACAAGCAAGAAATGTTCAGAGCACCATTCTGTTTTATGTTGGTTACAATCATGCTTTTCTTCATAAATTTTGTCCTATTTGGTTATCATCGTGGTCTTGCATGGCATTTCACCTGGAGCTAAGGTGGAAGTGGAACACATATGAAGACTAGAGTCAGTTACTAGACTAAAATGGATGCTATTAATAAGCTTATCAGTGCTTTTCTTGGATATTCTAGTCATTTATTGAGCATTATATATTTATTTTGTTGCTTTTATCCGTATAATATTCTTCAGATAAAAAGGAAAGTTTGCATACATGAGAATAATTTAGATTGTTTTGGGAGGGGTAAAGTAATTAAAGTGTCCATACCAGAAATGTGAAATTAAAAGAAAAAAATTTTGTTTTTGAATTTGTGTAATGACTATTCTGCCTCCCCTTTGGAAAGCTATATCTATTTCGCTGTGAGGGCTGAGGACCTGGAGTTACCATGTCTGAATCAGAAATCACAGAAGATTCATGTTCAAGTTGTCCGATCAGCTTAATAGGCTGATGTAATATAGAAGGAAATTTCCTTCATAGATTTAAATCTCATGCTTCAAAAGGCAACATTTAAGCTAGTTGAATCCATTGAAGAGGATGCATACGATAATGCCTTAATTTACTTTATTGAGTTTGATTAAGTTGTTATAACGGCAAACTAAACGTTATATCCTATAATTTTGGGATGAACTATAGGAAAAACCAAACTATATATATATATATATATATATATAAATATATATATCATATTAGGTCATAATTTTAAATTTTTTTGCATCATTCATTTTTATTAAAAATAATTTTTTCATTATTTTTTTAACTTTCGTATCATATTTTATTATTTGTATTCACATCTTTCGCGATCTACCTTTAAAAATTTTGAAATCTCCAAAATTTACAAATTCATTTCTCTTAATTGGTGCATAAATAGATTCACATTTCACATGTATAAACCATTTCAAACAGCCCTTTATCATCTTTTCTTCAATTTAAATTTCTTATAATTTTTTTCAAATCTCTTTATTTTTTATTTTATCTCTTTTAATCTTACAACATATACATTTAAATATTTTCATCTTAGTTACACTTATTTTATTCTCATGTTATTTCTTAATAGCTCAACCCTTAATCTTATAAAACAATGTATGTCTTAAAATTATTTTATATAACTTTGTCTTTTAACTTTAAAAATATGTTATGATCATATAACACATTTTGCATATTTTGTCATTTTACATATCTTGCTTGAATTTTATAATTTATATCCTTTTTTATTTTAGCATCGTTATGAATAATTAATCTTAAATATAAAAAAATTATTACCATTTAATCATCCAATTTAATCATATTAAGACCCGTTTCCCTATAAATACTAAATTTACATTTCATGTACTTAATTTTAAATTTACTTAATTTAAAATCTCGACACTGTGATGTATACTGCCATAAATCCAAGTTTGATTTACTCGTTAAATAAATAAATTCTTCTGATTTCAACCCATTTAATGCTATCATGATGTTTTTCTTTTGGTAGCTGTTGTTGGCAATTTTATGGTTATTCCACGAAATTGAGTCAAGGAAGATAATAATACCTATTGTAGGTTTCAGCATAACCTTTTTTTTTTTCCGTGTGCATTATTATTTCTTGTACTCGTTCCATGCAGCAGGATAAACAGTATTCATGATGTTTGTTATACATTACATTGATAAGTGCTTATTTGTATGTTGGCTCATACTAACACAGTATATATCTTCCTATTGTTAGATTGAACTATAGAGTCATGGATGAGTCCAAATGGTCAGCCCAGTAATAACATGGCGAGTCTCCCTCAACGGCAATGCTCAAGATGACTTGGCGGACATTTTGGCTCTGAAGAACATTAGAGGTGAAGACACCTTGAAAATCACCTTCACAAGGCAGTCCTCATCTTTCCAACATTGACTAAGTTCAGCAGCAATTACTAGAATGAGTTCATTACAATTGACTATCAAGTTTACCTGTTTTGGTTGAGGAAATCTGTTAGAACAATGATCATTTTGGAAGAATGTTTTGCATTTGGAGCAGACGAGGGGAATAATAGTCTTTTACATTGAGTCCATCAGATTAACCCAAAGCCCATTAGGTACATATTGTCTTTGAAGAGGAGGTTCCTGCTTCAATCTTGGTTTAGCCCATATAAACTCAAGGAGGAAAACAACCATACTTATCAGCCCAGTTATTGAAGGACTGCCCATTTTTTTGTACGTAATGAGTGAAGACAACGTTATACTGGGTTTTAGCCCAATGCTCATTCAACTAAATGGTTTCCAACTTCCAAGCCTAAGTCCTCCACGGCTGCCGAGCCTATCACAGTATGCCATGTCATCAACTCTGGGTTCGCTTTACAAAGAGCAAGATGCCAAGGAGCGTATCAGCTGCTACACATTGTAGTACATAAATGCGCCAACAAACTTAATCATGATTTTCACCAAATGAAATTATGCCACGTCATCGTTTGAGGTAGATACTATGGAGTTCCATCTGAGCTCGTTCCTCTTAACTCTTTTGTTTTTTTTTTTTTTTTTTCATTCTAAAGTCTACAACCAAACAAGCCCACCTAAAATTCAGGATCGTAAATAAACGGAGAAATCCTACCACTTATAAAAATGTCTGGGAAAATAAAAAATATCGAAAACCAGACAGAGTGAAAACAGAGGAAGCTAGAAACAGAAGAGAAAAATTAAAGAAAAATGAAGAAGTTTCAGATCTGGTTAGCCTTTGGGACCTTGTCCTTGGTATTGGCATCAGCCTTGGCGGCCGACGTCGTTGTACTAACCGAAGAAAATTTCGACAAGGAAGTTGGTCGAGACAGGGGAGCTCTCGTCGAGTTCTATGCTCCGTGGTAATAATTTTTCCATCGTCCGCGGCTTATCTCTCTCTCTCTCTCTATTTTTCTTTCTTTTTTTTTTTTTTTTCTTTTTAGATTAGATTTTATACTTTAACATTTTGGTGTTTTTCCCACTAGATCCTCATTAATCGATCCTTATATCTATCTTCAGCAATTGAAATGAGAACATTGATGATTTTTCTCTTATCGTTCTTCCTGACACTTGTTTATTAGGATCAAACTCTCTAGATCACTGAATTGTTGCCAAAGATGCTCCTTTTAAGGCGTGTTTTGTTTTCTCAAGAATTTGAATTTGTTATGTCTTTTTTTAACGGCCAAAACACTATGTTCCAGCTAGTTATATACTCAACGTAATCGTTTTCTCAAATCACAGGTGTGGTCACTGTAAGAAGCTAGCCCCCGAGTATGAGAAGCTTGGGGCGAGTTTTAAAAAGGCTAAATCTGTCTTGATTGGAAAGGTTAGCGATTTATAATTACAAAGGTTTGGTTTTTAATATACAAAGCATCATTGATCAGGGTATTTACACTACTCGTTTTGAATTCATTTGTATTCTTTTTTGAATTGTGAAGTTTTATTATGATGAAGTTTTTCTTGCTATTGGCGTTGATTGGAAAAATTGGCGATTTATAATTACACAGCTCTAGTTTTTAGTATATGAATTCTTATTGATCAGGGTATTTATACTGTTCTTATTGAATTCTTTTTTTCTTTGATAAATTGTGAAAATATTAGTATGTAGTCTTTCTTGCTATTTCTATTGGTTTTATTAGACCTTTTTTTTTTTTGTTGACGTGGTGTAGGTGGACTGTGATGAGCATAAGAGTGTATGCAGCAAATATGGTGTTCAAGGCTACCCAACTATTCAGTGGTTTCCTAAAGGCTCTTTGGAACCTAAAAAGTGAGTCTAATTTAACTTCTGGAAACGGAAAGCAGACAGTTTTGATCTTGTTTTATGTTTTGTTATTGGTATCAACATTTTATTTAAAACATGGTATTAGCACATCAAAATTGTTTTATCTAGGTATGAAGGACCACGCACCGCAGAGTCCCTTGCTGAGTTTGTAAACACTGAAGGAGGTACATTTGTCTTTTTCCTTTGTAGAAGTTTCTGGTTGTGGTTGCTTAATCTAGGAAATTCTGTCATGATTTCTTTCTTCTGTGTATCGTGAGGTGAACTTTCTTAATGTAGATTGATGCCCAAAGACCCAAGCCAACTAGGATTTTGTTAAGCTCATGTATTGTTTTTACAGGGACCAATGTGAAGATAGCCACTTTGCCATCCAATGTTGCAGTGCTAAATGCTGATAATTTTGATGAGGTTGTCCTTGATGAGACCAAAGATGTGTTGGTTGAGTTTTATGCACCTTGGTAAGCATGTGCCACTTTTTTGTTGGTAATATTACTATTTAGCAAAAATAACTAAGGTTATGGGCTTAAGTTTACTGTTTAAAAACCAGATGACCTGTGTCCTAGTTTTGCAGTTAATATTCTTTTGCTTTCATCTTTTCTACTTAATGTGTTTTGACAAAATTCTGGGTTGGTTTTCTGCCAGGTGTGGGCATTGCAAAAACCTTGCTCCTGTAAGCATTTATATCTTTGCTTAATAAAGTAGGCAATGATTATTATGGTACAAGTGTACATGTTCTGATCTTCACTGTAACCCTATGATTTTCTCTATGCAGACCTACGAAAAGGTAGCTACAGTATTTAAAACAGAAGAAGATGTAGTGATAGCTAATTTAGATGCTGACAAATACAGAGATTTAGCTGAAAAGTAAGCGTAAATTTAGCCAATAAGCTCAGTTTTCCTATATGAAGGGAGGGAATGTATCAATTTATGTTGAGGCCTTTGCATTAAGTGCAGGTATGGAGTAAGTGGGTTTCCAACATTGAAATTCTTTCCAAAGGGCAACAAAGCTGGTGAAGACTACAATGGTGGCAGGGATTTGGATGACTTTGTTATTTTCATCAATGAGAAGTGTGGTACCAGTCGTGATGCAAAAGGGCAGCTAACTGCAAAGGTTAGTATCTCATTGTGTATACTGGGACATCATGTTTTTAATTGTCAATGCTTCTGTATGACATTAATTGTTCTTCCTTTATTTTTTGCATAGGCTGGTATTTTGTCAAGTTTGGATGCATTGGTGAAGGAGTTTGTGGCTGCTAGCAGTGATGAGAAGAAAGCAGTCTTTTCTAAGATTGAGGAGGAAGTTGAGAAGCTCAGGGGTTCTACTGTGAGGTATTTAATTGGTTTCTCAATATGCAGCTTCAAAGGAGAACTTCTATCAATTCCTAGTTTGCTGTTTAAATTTTGTGTCAAAGAACTATTGTTCTATGTATAACTGTTCATGTTGCTGGTTGGCAGGTATGGAAAGATATACTTGAAAGCTGCTAAAAGCTGTTTGGAGAAAGGTGCTGATTATCCCAAGAAGGAAATTGAGCGGCTGCAGCGCATTCTTGACAAGGTAAGGATTACTGTTGAAATAGAAGTAAATTTACATTTTGTTGGATTGACAATTACAAATTTACTATTAATTAATAGGATGGTGCCCTGAAATGATCTCATCCATCACTATGATGTTTGACAGTTGATTATAGGCAAAATTATATCCCTTAAGTTAAAATTCTAGAGTCATTTGAACTCATGTTGATGCCTACTTTGTAGCGGTAGTTAAAATGCAATTAATTTATGAACCTTGCTTTTCCGTTATATGCATCTGTTATATGAGATGGCTCTAACTGTTAGTTTTTGCGTATGAATGTGTGTGTTTGATGCAGTCAATAAGCCCAGCAAAAGTTGATGAATTCACTCTCAAGAAGAATATCCTATCAACATTTGCATGAACTTCATAGATGGAGTCAATTTTCATCCACATTTCTAAGTATTGGTTTTCCTCCCAGTGCTGTTACCTAGACCTGTTTCACTCTAATTTTAATCTTTGAGTGGATCTTTTGGCAGCAAATGGCTAGGCCCTGATTTGAATTAAGCACGTGGGTGCAGGAGCAGTAAACAACTTTCTTGTCTAGCTAGAGCAGCGATTTAATTCAGCATTCTTCAAATTTGTGCCCTTTTTTACGTTTTAGAGGTTTTTTTTTTTTTTTTAATCTCCCTAGCAGAATCTAGAAATTTAATTATAGCTTAGCTGGATTTAATAAACAGCAAGTTATGGGACATCTGTTCAAAACTAAAGCTGCTTGCCCAGTTGAAGTTATCATGTTGTTGGACTCTACTATTCGAGTCTCTAATAAAGATAAGTTTTCTGAAAACAACCGCTGCTGGGCCATGCAAGTGGCATTGGAGGGCTAATTTGAGAGGTAGGCTAACTTTTCTTTGGTTTACAACATTTTTGAATAACACGTTTAATGAAGCTTGGATAAGTTGACAATCTTGTCCTTACCTAAAAAAAATTCAGGCCAGGCCAGCGTCTTGATAATGAATCTTTGATTCTGAAATTAATTTTTGCTTTGAAACTTGAATGGCATGCAAATCAAATGATAATTATCAAAAAATTTTAGCATATATTAAAATATATAGGGTTTAATGTTACAAATAATTTTTGAATTATAGTAAAATGTTTAATGTGATTTATCAATTTAAAAATTTTTTAATGTGATATATAAATTACGAATTTATTAATCAATATAATATTTATATTTAATGTATTAGATCCAAATGATGATACATATGAGATATATAATTTTTTAAATATTACATTAATTAATAAATTTATAATTAAGTATAATATTATGTATTTTTAAAATTTAAATATCATATTAAATATTTTACTATAAATCAAAGGTTATTCTAGACATTAAATAATATACACGTATACTTATTTAGAAACCAGAAAAGCATAAGAAAGACGATGCAACAAAGAGTATACAATTTATGCAGGGATACGTTCAGCCACAAGACTGGCAAAGCCAACTCTCTGTGCAAGGCAAAGAAACAGCAGACGCAAACTCAAAAATCTGATGTTGTTGATGATGAACCATAAATGTATGGCGGAGCGAGTGCGGTTCACTTTCTGCAAAATCTATGACATGCTTGAACAATCCGTCCAATTCTTACATTGGAGATACGTCTAAAATGAGGTTGGAGTCAGTTTTTATGAATCATTTCTCAAAGCATCTAATCCTAAGATTCATCCCCTTTCATATTCATATTTAAAGATTTCTCTTGACTAAACTAAGGATCTGAGACACCGGATGAAGAACACTCCTCAATCCGATTTTCTCGATCATCAATTAAGGACTTAATAAATGAGCGTGGTCGTTCCTCAAGTACAATATTAGGGACATTCTTTAGGCCTGAGAATAGGATAAGCAAAGTGTTCGTAGGCATCTCACAAAATATTTGAGTCATCTGAATCTTCGGGCATGGGTGAATATTTCCATGACATTTCAACCCTAGAAAGACAATGAGGATGAGTTTTCGAAGGTGCAAAAACTTCATCGCATTGATTTGAAAATTTAGAAATTATACTAGACTAATACCGCTGAGGTTAGTCGTACATAGAGAAAGCAGAGTAAAATGATGTTTACACAAGCTAATGCCATACTGCTCCTACAAACATCTGTTGGATAATTCGTTTCACTACGTGTACTAATAGCTGAGGCAAGATAATAATTTTATATAGTTATCATTTATCACGTGGATGCCTTCGATAAACTACTAAAAATTTATTTTTAAATTTTTAATTTAGTGGTTAAAAACGTTTAAGAGAATATTAAATATTTGATTTCGAATCAAATCTCTCTTTTTCTTTTTATTTGTATTAAAATTTTGTTATCATGATATAATAAAAAAAAACTATTAAAAATTCTCAAATCATTGAAAATTTTGGCAAAAGGATAAAAAAAATCCCTAAACTAAAATTCAATAATCATTTAAAGTTTTACCGATATTTTACAATCAATTCAAAATTCAAATATTTATTTTCATTAAAAAAATCCTTGTTAAAGAAAAAATATTTATTTTTGTCGATGACTTAAATGAGTAAAAATAAATATTTGAGGGTTCAATTGAATAAAAATAAATATTTAAAAATTTAACATATTTAAAATATAAAATTAAAGGTTTAATTGATTATAATAAAATATTATACGCTTAAACAATTATTGAATTTTTGTTGGTATGTTTTTTTATTTCTTTTGTCGAAAATTTTCAATGATTGTATATTATCAATACGTTTGATAAATATTTTTAAAAAAGTTAAAATATGAAAAAAAAAAACTCTTTCAAATATTATTGTAGCTAAATAAATCTTCTAATTTTTTATTTTTCACTATTTAAAACAACCTTTTTAAAACATGTGAACGTAAAAATGTGGTAAAAATTTACATATGAACACGATACTATATACATGACAAGAAAATATAAAATAAGAAAATTAAAAAAAAAAAAATTCTTGGTACAAAAGTTTTATTAATTGGTACAAAAATTTAAAGGCTCGCTTGTAAAAAGGAACAGCGACTTTTCCTGTAGTTTCAATGGGTTTTATAACTTTTTCAAATTTTTTAGGGATACATAATGCGCCCAACATTATTTTTTTGTGAAATTGGAACTAGTGTTAAAACTCTCGGGAAGTTGCTCTTTAAACTCTAGTAAAGCTACTGTAATTTGTGAATGATTTCTTACAATCATATTGAAGCCTAAACACGATAATTCTATTTCAGGCTTTAATATAAAAAATTTTTAAACAAAAATTAAATAATTATCTAAAATTTTATATTTTTATTATAATCAATTGAGACCTCAAATATTTATTTTTATTTAATTGAGCCATTAAATATCTATTTTAACTCAATAAAGCTTTTGATTGGACGAAAATGGATGTTGGTGATTAAGCAATGTAAAATAAAATTTTATTTGTTAAAAATAGATGTTCAAAGGATTAATTAATAGTAATAAATGATAAAATTTTGGATGATATTTAATTTTAATTCAGAGACTTTTTTATACTTATGCTTTTTTTTTACTTATTTTTTTTTTATTGCTTTGTATCTTATTTGACTTTTGAATTTGTAGAATATCTTAGGTTACATTTGTTTGGTAGAAATTAACTTTTAAAAATATTTTTTGAAAAATATTTATATTTTTTGAAAAAATAGAGATTTTTTATTGTTTTGATGAATTAATGAAAAACATATATTTATATTATCAATATAACAATTAAAATATTGAAAATTATTTATGATTAAAATACATTAAAATTATTTAGTATTAAAACTATTAATATTAAAAAAGTTATATTTTAATAATATATAATATTAAAATATTATATTAAAATAAAGAGGATTAAAACAAAACTATTTATTATTTATATTAATATTTTAAAGTATTTCAAATAGTACTACTATTCTTAAAATATTATTTTTATTAATATAATAATAAAATAGTTATATTTATCCTTAAAATACCAAAAATACTTATACTATTAAAAGAGTTATATTTTATATTGATAGTATCTATTACTAAATCATAACAAAGATGTTATTTATTTATATCTATTATTAAAATAATAATATAAAACATTAATAAATAAAATATAAAAATAAGATATTTTAAATTGAATAATAATAAATTATCAAAAATATTCATTTGATGAAAATCATAATATTTTTTTATATTATTTAATATTAATTATTAAAATAATAAAAATATTATTTAATATAGTATTATTTATTATTAAAATAATAATATAATACTATTTATTATTGAAATATTTAAAATATATTTATGTTTAATAATATACAAAATAGAAATATTTAAAATTAAAATATCAAAAGGCTTTTAATGTTAATATTTTAATTTTTTAACTAAAATTAAATAAAATATTTTTATTAATATAATTATATTTCATTTTGGATTAAATTAAATCTAAGTTTAAAATTTCATGTTCAAGGTTTTACTTAAGTAGAACTATAAAAATATGTTTAAAATTAAAATATTAGAAGTATTTTCATATTAGTATTTTAATTTTTTACGTAAATTAAGTCAAAATATTTTTATAAATATAATAATATTTGTTAAGTCTGAGTTTGAAAAAAATCATGTTCAAAGTCCGACTTGAGTAAAATTATGCTCATGAGCTTGATAAATAGTTTTACTCATAAATAAATTTTTTTAAAAAAATTATCTTATCCTTTTAAAAAAATGAATATAGTTTCTAAAAAAATGATCGCATTTTCCATAGGTCAATGATATTAGAAAATTACTAAAAGATACTTTTAAAATATTTTTATAAAAATATTTTTATAAGTTACTTGAGTAGAACTATAAGAATATTTTTAAAATTAAAATATTAGGAGATTTTTAATATTAGTATTTTAATTTTTTTACATAAAATTAACTAAAAATATTTTTTTATAAATATAATAATATTTCAAGTCGGTTCAAACTTAGTTTGAGCTTAAAAAATTATATTCATAGTTTGACTTGAGTAAAATTATACTTACGAACTTAATAAGTAGTTCTACTTATAAATATTTCTTTTTCAAAATTATCTTATCATTTTCAAAAGGAAAAGACAAATTTTAGAAGAATGACCATAGTTTTTTATATATTAGTAAGTCATTTTTTATTGACTAGCAGTTTTTGCTAAACAAACACAAAAAATAAAAATTATTTTTTAAATATAATTTTTCGTGAAACAAATGAAGACTTATAGCTTTAGTATATTTTCTTTTTCTTATCTCGTTTGGGTTAGTGATTAATTTCTGTTGATTCTAACTTCATCTTGGTTTCTAATTTTTTATTTTTTTAGTCTCTAACATTGGCCATAATATCTAAAAGCAAATAATTCATGCTTTGCTAGGAATGTTGGTGGCGTTTAAGTTAAATCGGGATTGAAATATGAAGAGTTAATATGTAATTTGGCACTTGAATTATATTACTTTTTACGATTTGATATTTATAAAAAAAATTTATGATTTGGTATTCAGCTTTCATTCTATTATGTCATTTGTCTCAAACATTAATTCCGTCAATAATGTGTTGACGTGTCAAAAAATCATGACATGTAACATATTTTCATTGGTCAAAATATACCATGTCATCATTTTACCTAATACCTTTAGTAGTGCAAAGTGATTGACGAATGCAAAATTAAAATACCAAATTGTGATTTTTTTTATAGGTATCAAATTGTAAAAAATGATATAGTTCAATAGGCATGCTTATAACAAAACTAAAAGGTAAATCCTAATCACAATTGATGGTGTCTTTTTGGAATGTTTCATTATCTTTCGAATTTTGATTATAACCTAAATGTTGTGCATGATGCAGGCTGACGATTGAGGGACAATAGTACATTCGTTTGAAGACAAGAAGCAAGAGATAATCGCATGGTCATTTTCCCATACCCTCCTTTCCTC